GATATGGGTCCCGGGGGGGTACTAGTGTTGGTGGGAGCGGGCCCAGCCACATAAATCGTCATATATATATATATATATATATATGTGTGTGTGTGTGTGTGTGTGTGGCCCAGATACCCTTCTTCTACTGTGGACTGGATGATTCATTCCTAATGCCACCTGGTTCTGTACTAGAGTTGAACTGCCACATTGCTGTCCACCTTCCTACATTGTCTAGGTGTCAGTTCCCGGAGGTTACTGGTATTAGTTGTGTTGGACTTGCTTACATGATGATGTGATTCTTTGGAACAGAAGATCTTCTCTTCCAATTCCTTTGTCTGAGGAAGAGGACACTTTTCTTACCATTGGCCAGATATTTCTATCATGGTACTGCTAGTGTTGGTTGAGGTAGAACTTCCCCTTATGGTCTGCAGTGCCCTAGCCATTTTACACCAGAGGTACCTTCATTATTTTTTGAGTCTCCTATGCTTTTGCCTCCGTTGTGGCATATTTTCAGAGGCAAAGTGTATACCTGGCTCAGAAGAGATGAGGTCTCCCATGAGTGTGTTACTTACTTCTTTTTTTTGTACACTCCTCATGGCCTCCTTTGGGCACTTTCTTAAGTGAGCTCATCTAGGTACTGTTACACTGGTCCCTTCACCAGGCCAATGTGGGATTCTAGCTATTCTGTGAGAGGAGGCAAGATATTGTATCTAAAGTTACATTTTCCTAAACTGAAAATATATTTCTAATAAATTTTTACTTCCACTCTCACTCTTTCCACCTTTCCTCCCCACTTTTAGTGTCTTTTTCTATTGCTGAGTCTCAAAGTGAAGTTGGGTTAAACTGCACAGAGGGATTGTGTCACACTCCAATTGATGGAAGGTTGTTGCATGCTATCATGCAACTGCCTCACATAAAAATGTGTGAGGATAGATGGAAGTATCAAGGCTAGTGGCGAGTGAAAATTTGTGCATATAGAGTGGAGATAAGAATCTATCAGAAATACATTTTTTAGTGTAGGAAAATTTTAACATCTAGTATTTATCTGTTTTTTTATGTCAACTGTTGATGAAACTTAAGCCTAATCTTTTATATTAATGGTACTACCACTACATTAAATATTTTTTTATTTAATTAGATAATGCACCTGAGAATACAGAATAATAATATGTAAAAAGCATAGAATGTCCTATAACTATCAAAATTTCTCTTGCTTTCTAACTATATGATAAGAGCTGTTAAAAATTCATCTCAACTTGTTAATGTGTTTTCCATGGATATAAAGTTTGAACTAAAGGTACAATAGACAATTCTCTGTACATAAAACAATATAATATAGTATGTTATTAGACAGATTAAAACTTTGGCTTTCTGTTGATTATAAATAATTTAGTATTATACATCAGAGAGAAGTATTGACAATTTGTGAATTAGAGGATGTGACAGGTGGGCATGGCAAGGGCATCTGATTTTGTAGTTTATGGCCCCATAAACAAATAAGATTGAAGGCTATAAAAATTTTGTTTTGCCTGAGTAATAATTATATTATAATCAGTAATTTATGTTACATTCCATACTTCTGGGAGGGGTGATAAATAAATTAGAGGAGAAACCTAGAAAGCGAATGTCACAATTCTCATAGTAGAGGAGATTGAGGGTTTTATAAAATATCATATCAGATATTCATATAAACTTAAGTACTTAAAACATATATAATATGAACATTTGATTTGTTAACTATATTAATATGTTACTTTTATTTGTATACATTGATAATGAAGTAGTTTAATTACATTTTGAAAGTAAGTGTAAAATGGTTATGACGTGCAGAAGGGGGGGGCTACTTTTAGGGAAAGAGTTAAAAATTATAGTTCTGCACATTGTACAGTGCACAGATCTGTTAGTAATTTGTTACAAAATAGTCCGTGCTGTGCACATGTTTCATTTTACAATGGTAAACTTGTTCCTTGTGTGTATTAACAGTCAAAATGTAATCAGTATGCACTGATTTCATATATTTACAACAATAAACGTGTTCCTTGTATGTATTAACAATCAAAATGTAATCAGTATGCACTGAGTTCATATTTTACAACAGTAAACATGTTCCTTCTGTGTATTAACAGTCAAAATGTAATAAGCACAAACATTAAAATCTTTAGTGTTATGCTGAAATATCATTTTAATGATTACAATTTTAAAATGTAATCAGTATGTTCTGTTGAAGTATCATTAACTAAGAAACCAATGGACTGATTTTACTGAAACTTTGCAAGATGACATTTAAGCAAACTGAATTTTAACATGTAGCTTGTCTTTTGTTTACTAAGAAATACATAAATATTTTGTATTTTCACATTTTATTATAAATGATGATACATTACAAGCATAGGTCAGATGGTCAGGGAATAACATGTTTTGATCAGGGAAAGGTCTTTGAAAAGTTGGAGAGTTTCCAACTGACCATGGCATTAGAACAATATAGTCAATACTGTTCACATATATATTAGTCATGCATTACAATATGATCAGTTTTGCAGATGGTTAGTACAGTGCACATATCTACTAGTGATGCATTGCAAAATAGCCATTACTGTTAACATGCACGCCAGTGATGTGGTACAAAAGAGTCTGCTCTACACATTCAGTACTGTTCACATCTTCCACTTTACAACAGTAAAATGTGAGATTCTCAAATATCTGAAATGCTATTTGTATACAAAACCTTTTCTAGTTCTAAAAAAGCGTTATTGCTTTGCCAATTTAGGCATTTGACTCTACTGTTTTTTTATCTGTAAAAATCAAAATACCAATAAATTTTAGTGCTATTTGTTGATAGTAAACAGGTTTTTTTTATTACATGGGTTAATAACAAAATTACTATACAGATAAATTTTTTAGTAATATTTGTTGATAATAAACTGATTATTAAATAGGTTACTAATGAAATTACTGTTCCAATAAAATTTTTAGTGCAATTTGTTGCTAGAACAGTTTTTCTCTTAAATGGACTTATAGTTAAATTATTGTACAGTTGCTACACTAAAAGCCAATACTGACAGTTCTGCCATTGAACAATAAACTTTTTTGGCTTGACTTGCAGTGAAGATTACTGACATAGTTGTTTTAAATATGTAATGCATTTATTTTCAGATTTGGTTTCTCATTATCAAAATTGCTTTTGTTTCAATTATGTTTGAAAAAATTGAAAATTGGCATGTAATAAATGTTTTGATGCAGGACATATATCACAAATGTTATAAATTATTCATATGGCCACCAAGGAACTGTGGATTGTTCAACAATATTTGAATATAGTTAAAAAGAGTTTAAGTGGTTTACAGGAAGCAAGTAGTTTTAATCTGTATTTTCCTCTATATGAGTGACTTAATAAATAAAAGGTTGAAATGGCTGATGCAATACTGCTTGCATAGATTGACTTTCATTTTGTAATTCTCCGTTTTTGTATTGTTCTATTAACATATAGTTAAGCATTGTGAAATTTGAGATGTATAATGATATAGAAATATCAAAGTCAGAGTAACTATAACAATGTTGGAGAAAAAAAGGATTATACCTCAGTACTTTTGAGAACATACAGTATTTTTGTGACTTCTTGCTGTATAAAATTATTTCATAACAAAACAAAATATTCCTCAGGCTGTCTAAAATTACAGAGAAGGACAAATACACATTTTCTTGGACCTATAAACAAAAAGTACCTTTTATATATCTTATACATTTTATTTATAAACTTTTAAAGAAAATATGCATATAATGTTATATGTTTTGGGTTTTTTTCTCTCTTTTCTCCCCTCTTAAAGTGTTTAAGTCAATGCTTTAAGATATTTCATTTTCATTTCTACAAACTTTACCTAACTCTGTAAAGTTTGCAGTTATTTCTGGACAAATTATTTCATGCTGTCATTTAATTAAACTCTGAATAAATGGTTTACAAATCTGTTATTCATTTTTGTTGCCATATTATGTTTACATATTACACAAATTTTAATCAGGATCCAAACGAAGACGTGAAGAGAAAGAAGATATCAGCTTAGCAGATGTCCTTGATAAAGAGGTGTGTTGTGTATATTAAGAACAGAAAAATGTTTTATTTTTAGTAAATGGCATTGTTGCAACTGATTTATCATTGTTATTTATTTGTCATTTTGTAACAAAGATCTTGTTACTTTGTGTTTTAAATTTTTCCAACTGCTATAGTGCTCTGGCAGTTAAAAATTGATTATATTCAAATGGATATTATTGGCTGTGTTCACTGCTCATTATGATCAGAGGAGTTTTTTTTTTTTGGAAATGAACTTCTTGTATATTAATCATTTAAAAAAAATGAAAAAGCTGTTTAATTATTTGTTATTGTCAAAAATTGATTTTATGTCATTGAAATGCCATATAATCTAATAATAATAACACAAGTGAAGAATTTACAAATCTGTAAATTAGTTTTTCATGATCAGATAATTAAATGTTAGTTTTTTAAATTTTCTACTTGATTTGTTGACAGAACTTTTATATTACTGACTTTGAGAGACCGTATCACAGTATTGCATGTTATTGATAGTTTTATGTGAGGATTATGGTAATTCTTATGAGAGGAAACTATGGATATTAGTAATTAATAAAAAATTCACCAATATAATATTTGAAAAGTCAGTCTTTTAGCTATTATTTCATAACAACCTAGGATTTAACAAAAAGAGCCCAGACACATAACTTGGATGGTTCAACAGAAAAAGAATTAGCAAAGCCTGCTAAGCCAGACAGATTTTCTAGGCTATTTGAAGGAAAAGCAGTGTCTGATCGACAACCTGAACTATTTTCTGGTGGTGTGATGAGACAATACCAGTTGGAGGGATTTGAATGGCTAAAAGTATGGTAACACATTTGTAAATTACATTTTTAAAGTGTTGTACTTTTAGGTTTTATTCAAGTTTGAAATTTGATTTTTATCTCACTTTAAAGATCAGTTTTATGTAAGTATCCAGAAGTTTCAGAAAAACATAAACTGAGTTATAAACACAGTAAAAGACAAAATAAAAAAATTCACTTGTATTTTTATGCTTCAGTGACACATCAAAAATTACTAATGGAGCATGGGCTCCGTTCAGACTCGTGACAATGGCACACAAAAGACATCTTTTAAAACGTGAAATCTACTGAGAAAATGTTCACTTAGAAATCTTGTTACTGTAGGTGTGATGGCTCTATTCTTTGTACTCGTATCTAACCAAATAGGAGGCAAAGTTTATACATTGCCATTTCCTTTGTTTTCTCCCTCTTTCTTTTCTTTTAGTGCTAGCAGCATGTATTTCATTCATAATTTAGAAAGAACAATGAGGATTGTTAAAATTCTTAAAAATCGTACATGAATATAGGGTTAAATGTGAGTGAAGGACATTTCAAACCACTATACTTGTTATATACTCCACCACTACGTGAAGCTCAGTCTTTTTTTCATTTTTCAGTTTCTCCTGGTTCAGTTCCTAATGAGGAGTGGATTTCCCTGAGATTGGTACCACTCAGTAATGAGTGTTAAATTATATTATAGACTGGGTTTCACATTTATTTCTTAGTATTTTCGATAGCTTGTGTGGCTGTATAGTATAATGTGGAAGAATGAATTAATAGCATCACTGGTATATATTCTTGAAATTCCTATATAAGTATAGGATTATTGTGATAGTAAAAGACATTTCAAAACACTGTATGAAAATTGAGGATTATTTTACCAGAAAAATTTATAAATGCAATTTCATAAACACTTTTTTTTTTCCCATATCAAAACTACCTCCAGGGTTCTTTACCCATGCATACAAATTATCCACCCTTCTAATCAGATTATTTTTAAGTGATTTGAAGTAACGGCCATCATTAGTTATTATTGTAGCTTATGCTTGACTGTAGGTCTTTTTATTTTTATTTAGTTGTGTATAATTTTTTCTTTTAATTAGTTTACGTTTTTGTGTTCGATAAACATAAAAGTTGTTGTTTGATTTATTTTTGTCTGCGACAAGTCACTACTTTGAATAATTTGTCAGCTATTTCTGCCAAAAATATCTGAAATGCTATTTGTATACAGTACCTTTTCTAGGTCTGAAAAAAATGTTTTTGCTTTACCAGTTTAGTTATTTGACTTCTTTTTGATCTGTAAAAATCTAAATACAGATCAATTTTTAGTGCTATCTGTTAATAGTAAACAGTTTTTTTATTAATTGGGTTAAAACTGATTTAAGTGTTACTTAAAACATGTACTCAGTGTTGACTTATTGCACAGTAAAAATAGGGCTTAGGCCCCCAAAAAACTGTTTTGGTGGCTCACCGTGTCCTATTATCAGTAAAAAGAATTGCAAGGAAGACACTGGCATATCTACATAAAAATAAATTTACATACTTAGTGCCATCTCAACCTTGAACAATAATTACACAAACCATCCAAGAAAAGCTAAAATCAATTTCCAATACTTCATTTATACAAGACCTGGAACAAAATTTTCAGTTTCTGCCAATTCTCTATTTAATTCTTTCTTAAACTCAACATAATTAACCAGATTAACATTTTTACAGTTTATAACGTGAGATGTCCTGGAAACATGTTCCATTGAAGCCAACTAATTTACTTTAAATTTACCTACTGCATTTTTATATTTCTTAATTCTAAATTTCAATTAACTACACATTTGGCAAATATACAATGACCACAGAAAAAAGGAATTTTATAAATTCCACATTTATCAGTTCTGTTTTGTCTTTTACATCTGTGAGACAGTTATTTAACTGATAATGTGAAGAAAATGTTACACTGTGATTTATATTTTTTGGTATTATGTTACATACTTCTGTTGACATTCATTGAACATGTGGTAAGCAAACCCTTATTCCATCAACTTTACTATTTTTTGTAACATTGTACATAGTGACATTTTAAATTTATTTGCTATACTTATTATATTTCTATCATTAATAACATATCCTCTGTCTCTTGAAACATGTTTAAGAAAACTTTCATCTTAGATCACAGTCATAAGTACAGATTTTCAGTGCTCTAAAGACAAATGTGAAAAAAGCAGATACTTTTTGTGGCCAGGGATTACATCATCTATTTAGTGAAGGAACAGGGGCTGAAAATGGTTTTCTATAAACTGATGTTTAGGAAAGAACATTCTCATTTTACTATCATATCAAGAAAAGTTTAATCAGCTCTATGTTTTCAATCTTCAGCATACATCTAATAGAATTTATTAAGGTGTTGTTGTCATTCCTCCACACCAAAAATGTTGCTACATTTCTTAATCACACCAAAGGCTTAACATCCATTTCAAATTTAAAAATAACTCTCAACAGAAAGTATAAGAAAGGCCTCATACTAAAACCTTTAATCTTTCTAGAGAATTTTCCCCTATCCTAAAATATGTAGTAAATTTTATTTCTCAATAGATCAGTGTTATGTGTACACTTTTAATTTTTTAAAGGGTTTAATGTTTGTAGATTTGTGTTGAGTTATTAATTTTTAATGTCACAGACATGTTTTAAGAGAAGTACAAATATTGTAATTCTCTGTAATAGTTTGTATATTTTTAGCTGAAGATAACATGGCTGTATTTACAATTTTACGTGTTCAGTTCCTGTACCTCTTGAGAAATTGTACGACTGTTAATTGTGTAAGCCAGTGATAAGCTTTCACACTGTTTTATTAGGTGCTATATGAAAACGGAGTAAATGGAATACTTGCAGATGAAATGGGCCTTGGGAAGACAATACAATGCATAGCATTAATAGCACATTTGATTGCAATGGGTGTACCAGGTCCATTTTTCATTTGTGCACCTCTTTCAACATTACCCAACTGGATAACTGAATTTCATAGGTTTGCTCCATTGGTAAGTACATAACCAAAGGTTGGTTTTGTATGTAATGTAGGATACTGAGGTTTTGTAAATTTGGTTATTTCTTAATAACATCTAGACATTTAATAAAATCATTCAGATTAATGATTGTTTTAAAAATAAGTTTAAGAAATAAGTAGCTGCAAGTTCCTTTTGAGTAAAATGTTAAAGAAAAGATTATTTCTATATATACAAGATGACATCTAAGTAAATGTATATATTGTGTTAAATATTTAGTATTAGCTTACTAAATTTTAATGTTTGGTAGCAATAAGTAGAAAACATCACAAGTTTTAAAAAACAAAATTGTAAATTGTACAAGGATAACAAAAAAAGAGATTACTAAGTTTGTATATCTTGTTGCTTTCAAAGGGACTGTGTGTCATTTCATGTTTCTGTAGAGATCCATGTTGTTTTATGGCTCGATGTTTTCATTTAAAAAAACAGTAAATAGTTTAATATGAGAGAATGACAAAAATAAATGTAGTAAGAATTAATGAAATACTGTTGTTGTAGAAACAAAAGCTTGGTGATAAGTGGAATGTTTTAATTGTTGTCAGGCTCATTAAGCCTATGTAGGGGGGTCAAAGTGCACATCTAAACTTTTTTTTTTTAATAAGCCATTATTAGTCTCAAAGTGGGTTCCTCGTCATCGAATAAAGTAGTTTAATTGAATTTGAATGTAACTATTAAACTACTTTATTATCTACATCCGAAAACCTGGCATTAAAACTTAGTTCATAATTCAATTATTAATATTTCATAAGTTTTGAATTTGAATAAATTCTCAATCTTCACATGTGTATCACAGGACACACTCGTTGGCTTGGAACTGCCCATTTTAGATTTTATTTCTACACCTGTATGGTTTCTGAGTTTGGCATTAACTACATATTCATAGTGTAGGTATTGCTAAGGCATAATATGAATTTATAACTTTCAAGCTTCTTCCTATACTGAGATATAAGGAATAAAGTCTGCTTTACTAAATTCATTACAAGGCAAAGCTTGTTCTAGTTACAGCTTTTCAAATATTTGGCCTAAATTTTTATTGTTTGCTATTGTGGAGTTCAGTTCAACTTGCTAGCAAAAATTGTTAAAAATCATTTATAATTTAATTAAGCTAGAAAGCCAGTTAATTGACAGTAGTTTTAGGACATTCTATTTTTTGTGCATGATAGTATTTTGTGCTTTAAGGCCAGTGGTTCTTCAGGCTCCCAAAGGAGAGAAACAATGTAAATACTAAGTTTCTTATTTTTTATTTATTTTTTTATTTATTGTTATAAAAGTAACTAAAATGTAAAAATTAGAAACTTGCTAGGTCAGATGAGAAAACTTAAATGGGAAAAAAACAGTTAAATGAAAATTTCTTTATGAGGAATCCATGTGAGCTGCCATATTTGATGTAATTCAATACTTGCTTGAGACTGTCACTGATTTTATGGAGACTTTTTTTGGCTTCTACATTCCTCCCTGTTGTTTTTGGAGTCTCGAACTTCATTGGATGCTACAAGGGGTCATAGTTCCACCCCTATTCGTGGGTTCTGACATCAGCCCCTTGGTACATTGGTACTCAGAATAGATTCTGTCTATATCCAAGGGTTCTGCTGCTTGGTTGGGTTTCTGCCAGTGGCATTTATGATTAGTGTATGCCTTCAGTATCTGTGGAAGCTCTGTGTGGTAACCTTAACCACGGATACAGGAGCACTATATATACATCTTCACCACTATTATCCGCCTAACCTGTAGGGTTTCTGACCCTTGCAGATCCTCAAGATTTGGAACTTAGTTCTAGGACTGTTAGAGTTTCGTTAGTCTGTGGGTAGTGAGAGAGTCATGTTAGTTTGAGGTTTTATTCCCGTCAGTCATTGGGCCTAATGAGATGAGATTGGTATCCAGTTGTCGATCTTTCTTGTTTATATCAATGCCTATATTCTCCAAGGTTCACATTCATTGCTCAATCTGATTTGACATTTTTTACTGTGATTGTGGAGAATAAAATAAACTTTTTCTTGGAATGTTTGCGTTTGAAATGTGAAACTCATTAAAATTTGGTCTTATACTTGTAGAAGCTTGTCTAGACTGTCATAAAAGAGTTTCTTGTTTTTACATTTTAGTTACTTCTATAATAATAAATAATGATTACACATAGCACGAAAAACATGAAATAAAGTATTTACGTGGGTCTTCTTTTTTTTGGCTGTTGATTGCCAATGACACATAACCCTTTTTTTAAATACTAACCCTATAAGACCAGGTGCTATTTTTAAATTCCTTTATCAACATGTCAAATTGTGTTGCTGAGTTACATTCAAAGTGTAATTAAACAACTTTACAATGTATTTTAATGAAACTAGTGTTATTAAATACATTACAGTTCAAAGTTTTATATTATCCAATTATTCCTTTATTCTGAAAGATATCTCTGAAGCAAACAATTAAAATCTCAATTTTGTTGTCACATGATGTGTGTTCACTTAAAATATCTTAGCTTTGGTTTCTTCTATTTCTATTCAGTTTGGTCTCAGTATCCCAGGTTAGTTAAGGATAGACTAGATAAAATAAATAATATAATAAAAAAATTCTGAGGTATGCTGTGCAACCAAATAAACCAGTAGCAATGTCAGAGAGAATTATTGACATTTCTTGAAGGAATGGAATGGGCGGAGCATATCATGTGGGTTTTATGGGTGTTTTTATAACTTGGTAAGACAAGAATTCTGGTTTGTTAGTATGTATAGCATGTGTATGTAATTGAGTTAGACACTCAAACTATACTGGTGGGAAATATATATATATAATTCACAAATAAGAGCATTACTGCATCATGTGACACAGTCAAGTTAAGATTAAGAATTTATTGATATATTTCCTTTTGAAGTTAAAAGTTAGATAGTATAAAAATTTGAACTACTAATTTTGTTTTAATATATTCTAAAAAGGTTGTAAGATGCACACTTAGACTTAGAAAAACCAACAACAGAGAACAAAAAGTGATGTCTAGTAGAGTTACATGTATGAGTACAAGAAACTGTTAATATGTTCCTGTGGTGGTTTATCGCTTTTCATGGATGGATAAACTTCTTCCATGGTACAAACCAAGCAATAAAACCATAAAATTAGAACATTTGAAAAGGTTAATAGTTGAAATTGGGAAGATAAATAAATTGAAAAATAAATTATTAATTATGCATTCAAAGAAAAAGTATTGTCCATTTTGTCTCATATTTTTTAACCTTTCATTTCGTTGTATATTGATGATTTCACTACAGTTGATTTTAAGATAGAGAAAATAAAATGTGACTTTTTATCAAGAAAAAACTTGATTTTCATTTGAGAGGTTCTAGAAGTTATGCAAATGAAATATGAAAATTGTAAGATAAAATTACCTTTCATTTTCTTCTTAGGTTCCTGTCATATTATATCATGGAGCACCTGAAGAACGAGCTGTGTTAAGAAAAAAAATTGGAAAGTCGAATATTGTGGTTGGGAAAATTGTCCATGCTGTAGTTCTTACTTCTTATGAGATCACTATAAGAGATCGAACTTTTTTACAGAATTTTGAATGGCGATACATTATTGTAGATGAAGGTCACAGGATGAAAAATTCCCAATGTCGTTTAGTCAGGTGAGATTTATAATGATTTCATTTGAAAAGAAGAGAAGTGGGGGGGGGGGGGTGTAAAACAGTTCCAAGAAGATAGCAGTATCTAAAATAATAATAAATTAGTTTGTTTCAATAAAGATAAGCAGAGAAAAATCAGATTTCAGTAAATATATTCTCTGTCCTTTCTGCAAGCTTTGTGTCCACACAATAGTTACATAATGAAACCAAAACATACTAAATGTGGCAATATGTGGTTATTTAGATTGTGCACATACAGAACGTACCCCAGAAAAATAAAATTGATTATCGAGTTTGGTTTTGACTTTCAAATATTATGTTAAAAGTAGTTAATATAGTCTCAGAAGAGTAAAAATGTTTGTAGATAAAAGACTACATTAGTTGCAGTTGTGATGTATATATAATAAAATATTTCAGACAATAATAAAAAAATTCTGGTCTTAAAACAAAATAAAATGTTTTGGATTTTTTAATTTGACATTTATCCAGTTAACATTATTCAAATCAGGTGGTATTTTGGTTTCTTGTATTTGAGGACTTAAAGATCCAGTAAAAAAATAGATACAATCAGTCACTTCTGTGAAATGTTTGAAATTTAGTTCACTTACCTCGTACAGTGATGTTTTAATTTTGATAGAGCATAATTTTACAGGATTGTTAAAAATATGTGAAATTATACTCTCATTGATATTCAGTAGGGCAACAAAGGCTGCACAAAAAATAACAGCTTGCATTATATTATTGAAATTATGTTATAATAATTTTTTTTCTATTATATTTCAGAGAGCTTAAAAAATATAGATCTGTTAACAGGCTTTTGCTTACGGGAACACCACTACAAAATAATCTGTCTGAACTATGGTCTTTGTTGAATTTTCTTCTTCCTGAGATTTTTGATGACCTCCAGGTGTAAGTAACCGGTTTCATTTTGTCTTGTGTACTACACATTTTTAAGGTTCATTCTTTAATCTCATTATGTGTTACACACACACACACAGTGGCACATATAATGTTTTCATTCCGCAAGTATTACTACAATCAAAATTTTATAATCACTCTTTTAATGCATATAAAAATGTTGAAAGTAAAGTTAATTTTTTCAAATTTTCTGGGTAATCTAGAAGCAGAACAAAAGTTAGGTAGTACATAATAAGAAAATTAAATTAAATTTGTAAAGAGAAAAATATGGTGTCATTTGTTGATAAGTAAAGGAATTTTTGATATAAGTTTCTGCAATATTTGTAATGTGTGTGTGTGTGTGTGTGTGTATATATATATATATATATATATATATATATATGTGTGTGTGTGTGTGTGTGTGTGTGTGTGTAGGGATTAGAATTATATAATATTCAATCCTCTGATCTGACCCAACACACTTGTCAGTTGTGGTTTTATTAAACTTCTTTGCATGGAGTATCAGTTAGGATTGTATGATATTAGGCTTTGCTTTAATAAACAATTTTAACTTATACATAACTGACTTAATTACCAGAATTTCTTTAATAGCATTGATATAAATTATGTAACATATACTGGTACAAAAGTGATTGGCATCTGTAGTGAATAGCAGGACCAAGTTGTAATGAAAATCCTAAATGAGCATATAATTAAACAAATATATATATATATATATAAGAATAACGTAGATGTAGAAAGTAGCAAAATTGTTATTTTATTTCCATTAAATAGTTTTGAGTCTTGGTTTGACATCAGTTCTCTTATGAAAGAAGGAGTTGATGAAGAAATTGTTGCTCAAGAACAAGAGAAACAGATAATAGCTACAATGCATCAGGTAGGAATCTGGCTTAAAGTTCACATTACCCGAACTCTTGTATGTATCAACTCCATATTCAGCTGTATAACCGTTACCATATGAGGATAATGCAGTTTCATTAGTAATATGCAAAATTGTAAGAATGGAATCAATCTATGATTTAGGCAAGCAATGCCTACTTTAACAATAAGTATTTAGGGAAGTATTGTACAAAAGCTTATTTGATTTCTTTGGAGGGAAAAATCAAACTATAAAAAATGAGATTGATTACTTCTTTCTGAACAGTTTGAAAGTCACAGTAACGACAAAACTTCATAAATAATGCTGTAAGAACTAGTCTTAGTCAGTAAGATTTAGATAAGTAAGCTGTACATGAGTTTGCTTGTTTTTTTCCCCCCCTTATGAAGTTGAAACTAATTGTATGTATATGAAAACAGTTTTGTTTTAGAAAAAAAAAATAATTCAGTAAGAGTAAACTGGACTATTACTGAAGAAAAAACGTAACAGAAGTTCATTTTTTATCCATATTAATATACATAAAATCCAACAAATGAGGCTGTTTGCCATTAGCTACTGAATTATCCAAATAAATTTAAAATGTAATGTTTTTACATACTGATTCCCAACATTTTATTTTGTTTAATTTATCCATTTTAACATTGCATCTTTACATAGTTTTTCCCCTTTTATATAACTTGGCTCTTTTTTTTCCTGATATCACATCTTTATTCTAACTGAGCTTTACATGTAAAATATTTTGATCAGTTCTGTCAGATATATCTGCTGTGTTTAAGATTGTAATGTTTATTATTATAAAAGATTGGTTGTTAATGACTGGGACATTTGTTTTTTGCTACAGTTCTTGCAGATGTAAAAAAAAAATGGGCTTCTGAAGTAAACCAGAATTTATGATTCATACCAAACGGAAAATAATTTTCCTGGGTTACAGTTCTAAACCTTAATAGGGAAACGTGTTTGATTTTGAATATACTTTTTAAACTTAAGGTGAAAAGATAAATTTCCATTTAACAAACAGGACTCAAACAGTGGATATAGTCATTAATTTTATGACAAAACATTATCAGCAGTTAGAATTTTTCCTTGTTAACTTTTAACCCTCATTATCTAGTATACTATACAGTGTTGCAGTTGAGACCTCAGTGTCGGAGACTAACATCTGACGAATGAAAATCATGCGTGTCAAACAAACTATTAACATCTTAACTGCAGATCTTTTACACATTAACATCATGTCTTGGTTTTAACATTTCCTCCTATGAAAAAAAATAAAAAGTTGATGAAAGAATAAGAAAAAATCAAAATGATCAGCTAATAAAAAAAAAGAAAAACTTTTGCTGTTCTTCAAAAGCTTATGGTGTCAATGAACTGTTTATGATCTTTTATGCTTTTAAATTTAGCTGGTCTCTTTTTTGAGATAGAACATCAAGACCCAAATGATCTGAGACCCGAGACCATCTGAAGTGGTTGAAATGTTTATTTGTTTACTTTAGCTGTTAATTCTAAACATTGTATGATTAGCATATTTTCACTCTCATTAGATCCTTAGTCCATTTCTTCTACGAAGAACAAAGGCTGATGTTGATCTTATGCTTCCACCTAAGAAAGAACTGATAGTGTATGCATCTCTTTCCGCACTTCAAAAAAAATTCTATGAAAGTACTGTGAATAAAACAATCCAAGGTATACTTGTAAAACCACAGGTAAGTAATCAGTGATTTTTATATGAAAGTTGGTAAATTCTTTGCTCCTTAACTTTACAACTAGATAGAAGTACACATTTCCTATGCATATATCTATGCTTCCAACCATTTATTGTAATTTAAACATGCAGCATGAAACATAAGTGTGTTTTTGTGTGAGTAACGACAATGATTAACAATGTAAGCTTAGTAATTGTAAGGGAAAAAGTGTTAAGTTTCAAGCACAATAGCCTTTTTTTGTGCTTGACAAGTATACACAAGAATATGTAGCTAACTGAAGTTCTACTCCCATACTTATGTTTGTCTCACTAGTTATGTACTTTGATTAAAGTATTCTTTTTTGCACATTGTTTGAATGTTAGATATTAAGATTGTTATTGAAGCTCTTTATTACTATGACTAGCTCTTCTGGTGTAAATTTCATTAAAGCTACTCAGAAGCTAATTAAAGTCTGTTACAAACTATATGTAAAAAGGAAGAAGAAGAAGATATTGAGTTTGATGACAAAGGTCGGCCTAAAAGGAATTGCAAGCGAAAAGTAGACTATGGTGATATGAAAAACATGAACTTTGAAAAGATGTTACGAGGTGAATATGAAGATACTGATGATGATTCTTCTAATACTAGCTCTACCATTTCTGTTCAGTAAGTTAAAAAATCTTTCTCATCTGCTTATTGAATATTAGTTCTTTTAATTCTTGATAAAATTACTAAATTACTTCTTTCTGAACAAGTGGAGTATCCTGATATGTCCTCTTTTTTGTTTTTAAAAATTACTTACAGAAATTAGACACTATTTAGAAAATTTGTTCTAAGTTTTATGTAAAAATTCATAACATTTGTTGTAGTATTTCTGTTGTTTTTTTAGGTTCTAAAACTTTGTTCTTAAAAACAATAAAATACTTCTTTTCATCCTAATTTTCCATTTTGTACATACTGTCAGTTTTAACTTGTTTGATGTTCCTAATAATTTCTTTTAATACTTTTTATTTTGATTATTGAAGTAGTTTACTTTTCTCTATAAATTGTAACATGCTATGACTGAAAGAGACATATTTGTGAACTATTTCCTCTCCTTTCAGAATAATCGCACTATTACATTTGCAATCTGTAATTGAATCATATTTTGCTTACAGTATTTTTGGTTTACCTTCTTGCAACAGGCTCAGTTGATGTGACCAACCTCTTAATCCCAAAATGACCATCAGAGTTTCCATACTATAACTTTTAATATGTTTTGTGTAGCTTCACAAAATTTCTGAAGCTTTCAATAAACATTACAAGTCTTTTGTACACAAAAAAATCAGATTTTATAATTAAGTATTTGTATTAAAAAAATTTGTCCATGAATATGTGGAGTCAGAGTGTTGACTGTTCAGGGTGCAAAGGGATTTTCATGTAAAGATTAAAAATTCTTTTGTTCATCTGAAAATTTTCTAATTTCACTTGTATAATCTCTAAAACATTCTAAATAAATATCAAACTTTGTTTTATAGTAAAACTTTATACTATATCTGTTATTTTCTCTACTCTAACTATACACATTTAGTCGATTTGACCGATCTTTTAACCACCATAGCAATACAGAATTAATCTAAAATACCTTTTTCTTTCTAGTTTATCCTAAATAGCTTAAAGCTTAAAACAGTATTCATCTGTTTACACTTAATTTTATTCTATTATTGCCCTTTTATCGATATCTAACTAATAATCCTGCTACACAAGTTCTAAATCACTTGGCAAACATGTACCTTATGTTACTGTATTGAATGACATAATGTGCAACCTACTTGCAAGCAGACCTTCTGAAGAATTTTTATTATTATTTTTCATCATTTACCTAATCTAATCTAATAAGTTTCTGATTTCTACATTTTAATTACTTTTTTAATAATAAATAAAGAATATACATGAAAAACAAGAAATATATATCACTTATATGTAACCTCTGTTTTTTTGTTGTTGGTTGCCGATGAAATTTAAGCCTATATTTTCATGTTAATGGTACTAGTATATTAAATAACCTTATGAAGATGAGGCAGTACCCAATGAGCATAGCTTGTATGGAGAATGAGACATAGTGCAGCAATATTTATGATAACTCTGAGCTTTGTTAATGCTATCTTCATAACAATTGCTAAGATTTTGTTAAAGATTAGAAGTATTTTGTACACAAAAAATTAGATTATTTTAATAAAAGATTTGTTATTTTTGTATTCTAGTTATTTGCATTCAAATTCTTGAATATTTCAAGTAGTGTCATCAATGTATTGTGCAGTAGTAGTAGTTTCGTATGGTGTTTTTCACACCTCCAAATTCTGTTGGAGGTGAGTATCCGGTAGTAGTACTGGCGTCCTAGTTCGGACACTGGGTGAACATGTTTCGGTATGACGGAGATTCGAACCCGCAGATTGCGAGTCAAGTGCCCTAACCACCTGGCCATGCTGTGCCCTATTGTGCAGTGAAATGTTTAAAGTGAAAAATGGAAAAATATTCATACTATAAAATTTTTCTTCAAATAATCTTGAAATCTGCTTTTGGTTGTATTCTTAATTGTAATTTTTAGACTTTTTTTTTTCACACATTGTTTATTTATAATGTTTTATTTTCCTTTCCTATCATTTAGCATTATTGCAACACACATCAATAGGTGTTCTCTGCAGCATTCCTTTAGCCTTCATCATAACGTTGAGACTTGCCTTCTACAATGAGATTGATAAACTGGGGCAGTTTGGCATATATTTAAAAAAATTATTAAACCTTTCTAATATGTAATTTAAATAATAAATAACACATTAATCAACTAAAATATAAAACTAAAACCTAAATAAAACTTTAATTGTCTATCCAACAAACATATTTATAGGTGAGAAACAACACTAAAACTCTTGTGAGGACAAAAGCAGAAACAATGCTAAGAGCATTTGACAAAGTATCTATGAAATTCTTCTTGCCAATTTTTAACTAACTATTGGGAGATAGTATTTTAAAATATGGCCTTTCTATTGGTTACAAACATCTAGCTCAACTAAGTATAATGGCTGAAAAATTGCAACACTATGTGTAGAAAGTAGGTGTGACACCTTTCAAGAGTTCCAAGAAGTTTATTTTTCTCTTCTTTCACTGTCCCTTAAGGAGCTTGAAAAAAGAATATGTAAACAGAGAAATTAACCTATATACTAACAAAGGAATTAAAATTTAAATAATATGAAACTTTGAAGTATAATATAGATTTGAATACTAATTTCATTGGGATACATTGATAGTAAGATTGTTTAAGTTTTGAATGTAACAAAGTAAAATCTTGTGACATGCTCAGTACAGTGGTGTCCGTAATAATAATAATAATAATAGGGATAATTTTTATTTACTTAAATAATGCACTTAATATCACATAATAATAATATGCACCAAGTGAACAATGTCCTATTAACTATCATAATTTTCCTGGCTTTCAAACTATGGCATAAAGGGTCTTTAAATTGTACCTTAAGAATTGAAGAGAGAAAGATAAATAATTAATTTATTAACATCATTTATTAACATTTACCAGTAAAGGCATCATGAGGTACAGACTGAAATAGGTTTAAACAGGTTTATATATGTTTAACCAAAGAACTGAAGTAACCTTGACTTTCACTTTTAGGCAAATGGGGTGAGAAGTGGGAGGAGCTTAAATTGGTTTGGTCATTTAGAACTTTTTCATGATTTGTTTTTAGACTTCTCTTTAATTTTAAAATTTCCAGACAATTTGGTTTATTATTTTTTTCACAGGCATGTTTTATTGTTTTTAATTCAGTTTCATAATATTCAAATGACAAGAATATAGTGATAAGCCTGTGCAACAAACTGTGGAACACTGTAAGTTTATGAAATATTGGATGTCAGTTTCTGAAAATTTTGAAGAAGTGTATTCCATTATTTATGTCCAAAAAATTAATATTTCCATTTCACAAAATTCCATGATAAATTTAATATAGTTTTGTGAATTTAGAAGAGTTACAAAATTATCAAGTTGATGTTTGGAGCCTGTCCAAAGACAAATCACATCATCAAAATATCTGTACCAATTTTTGACATGTTTTGTATTATTTTCATCACTAAACAATTTATTCTCTAAATTATCTGCAAAGAAAGGAGAAAGAAGGGAGAACCCATAGCTAACACATCATTCTCATTATATATTTGGTCATTAATTTTGAATTATTTCTGACATAAGCAAGTGGTTCTAATTATTTTTATATCCTTGTACAGGATTTGCATTTTTTTATTAATTAAATCACTAACCATTTGTTTGCATTCATTAACAGGTATATTTGTGAAAAGACTACAAATTATATCTTACTTTAAGCTTGTTGATATGATCACTACAAGAGAAATTTTCTAACTGAAGGCAAAATAGACAATACTCTACTGAAAACAACATAATATAATACATCATTTGATAGATTGAAACTTTAGCTTTCTGTTCTCTATAAATATATTATAAAATGTTGGACAGAACTATTGGCAATTTGTGAAAGAGAGGATGTTGTAGAGGTGGGTATGGCAAGTGGGTCTGATTTTCTGGTTTTTGACACTGTAAACAAACAAGATTGGAGACTTTAAAAGTTATGCTTTGCCTAAGTAATACCTATTTTATAATAAGTACCTCACATTTCTTGGAGGGGTGATAAATATATTAGAGAAAGAAGACCTAGAAAACAAATTTCACAATTCTCATACTAGGAGAGATTGAGGATTTTTAAAAATATTTCCTTATAAAATTATGAATTTAAAACTGAAATATAATTTGATTTATTAACTACATTTTGATGTCAAGTTTAGTTTTGTATACAGTGATAATAAAGTAGTTTAATTAAATTGTTGATGTAATTCTTAAAGTCATGACATGCACATTTTGACCTACCTGTAGCGAGATGGTTAAGCTCATATATATTTAATAGTTATAGTTAGTTTCTATAAATAAGTTCATATGTTTGTGTTAGTATTGTTTGAAATCAGTAACATAACAATATCTTAAATTAAAAAATATTTGTTTCATCCAATAGTATGCTACCATAAGCCTTTTTTTACCCTATTTCCTAAATTTAAATATCCTTACCTTGTATTTTGTCATAGAAGAGTATTACTGAAGCTTTCAAATGGACATAATATAACACAAAAACATTATCAAGAAACAAAAAAATACCATCAGAAAGTATACACAAATCAGAGGTACTTCAAAACTTGTTTGAAGTTGCTTTGTTACTGCTGACCACACGATTTTCAATATTTTAAAAAACATAACTAATTTTCACATGACTACAGAATATTAAAGCTGAGAACCAGTCACAGTTTTGAAGACTTTTTAGGGTGGTATTATAAATATGGCTTTAACTAACTGGTTAATAGGTTAAAAAAAATTAGATCTACAAAATGTAATGTCCACCCACACCTTGGTAGGTCAGTGGTAAGTATGTGGACTTACAACACTAAAATCCAAGATTCAATTCTCTGTGGTGGCAGAGTGCAGATAGCTCATTGTGTTGCTTTATGCTAAACAGTAATTTAAACACCAAGATAATAATGTTGAAAATTGATTAGCAAAAGTAAATACAAGTAGAGGAGTAAGTACAAAAGTGTAATTATTCAGTTCAGATGCC